TTGAATATCTAGTTTTGCAAATAAATTACACAATTTCTTTCTGTTCATATTTTAAAATTGTGTTATTTATTGATATTTATAGAGTGATTTATATATTTGTATTGCTTTTGCTGTTGTTTGAAGGGCCAAGCTGTCAATCATCTTGCTTCGGGCGGGCCTTTCATATATTGTGTATACAATGCTTGTCTTTAATATTTGACTCAGTGTGCATGTTATACTGTAGCTGCCATGAATAACGCAGATTATATACAGTCAGATAGAATAAGCTGATTGTTCAGCCTTAAAGGGAGGAAACTGGATGTTAAGGGGTTAAATTGACTGTAAAGACATAAAATGATGAAAGTTAATGTTTCACAGTGGTGATGAAAACAGCCTGGCTTTGTCCCATGCAGACAAACCCGGCTCCAACTCGTGATAAGACGCTGATAACAGAGACAGTTTCACACTTTGGTGGAAAGTTACCAGAGAAATGTAAGTTTCAGCTGCAGCAGGAAACACCAGACAGAAACAGCTGCTGCGTCCGTCTCATCGCGTCTATTTCTGCTTTTACTTTATCAAAACTAGTTTCTTTTGCAAATTTTTTCAATTTTTCCACTAACAGGTTACTGAAACCATTTTGATCTGTAGAATGAATGTTTTCTGTGTTATTTGCCGTATAAAATAAAGAGTCTTTTTCTTCCTTTATTGTGCTTCTACAGTTCCTAAGTGATAATTCACCATCAGAGAGTCTCGGCTCTCTTTGGAAACATTCATTACTGTTCAGGTTCAAGGCCGTCGACGGAAACTCAACAGGAAGAACATCTCATGTTACCTAAATATAAGTATAATAACTTAAAGCCACACAAATTAATGTCCAAATCACATTAAAAAAACGTCCTTTGTAGCAAATGGAAGAATGTTCCCATCAAAAATAAAATATTCCCACAGACTTAGTTTCAACTTAACTTGTTGCTTTTTACATTTTCTCTCAATTCCGGTGGAGACAAATAATGTCATCGCAGTGAGTTAGTAACCTTTACTTATCTGTGGTGGACACAAACTCTTCTGACGGAAACAGAAAACCACCGTTCCATTTCTGTTTCCTATCCTTTAACTTTCCTCCCTTCCTTTCCTCCCTTCCTTTCCTCACTACCTCTAAGTTCCATCCGTGATGTAAAGGTGAAGGAAGGAGAGGAAATGAACAGGAGGAAAGATAAATGATTTGACATCCTTGTATGATCTTGAAATCACTGTTAACATTTACAGTAGGTTCAAATCACGTTAAGTTTATTTATATGTTTGTATATTTTTTTATGTATTTATTAGTGCTGGGCAACGATTACATTTTTAATCGCGATTAATCTCATTGTTATGCGCAAAGTTCAATAGTGAATTCAAAAGTAGTGTATTGCGCACTTTTATTTTAAAGTACTGCTATATGAACAAAAGGTCAATAACATTTGGTTTGCAAACACTTTAAACACATCAGGTTGTTGTTAACAGCAGTATTCCCTTTACAAAGTAGTTATAACACAGTTATAATGATTCTGATCATAGATATTCAGCCGGTGTTCATAACTTTATCTTCATGTGTGTAAGAGATGCAATTTAAATATACACCTTGAAAACTGCAAACCTATCTACGTCATGTTTTTATGTTTGTTAAATTCTCAGTAGTGATACTAAATGATGCTTATTATACATATTACAAAGAAAACACTTTAAAAACTCGAAAAAAATAATTTAAATGAATCATTTATTTTTTGCTTTTTTTGGTGTTGTGGTCAGACACATATGCAACGCTGATTACCGTAATATGTGTGGTATTTGTTATAAATGTACGTTGGTACATAGAGGGTGATAAGAAGCTGTACCTGGAGGGACTTAGGACCCAGGGGAATCTAGGTGAAGCATGGGACCTGTAGTCTGTACCGTGGCAGTAACCTGCACGAGGAAGTTATGCTAATAAAGAGTTGCAGTTAAGAGCAGTTTGTTCTCTCTCTCGTGCTTATATGTTCATTTAAAAATACGACAATATGTATTTTGATATTGTCACGTTTCATCCTGTAACGAGACGATCGCGCTGCGCGTGTGTGTGTGTGAGAGAGAGACCTCCTAGCGAGGCCTTTAATGAATTGTTCATACAGTGAAAAGATACATTAATATAAAAACGTTAAAAAATACAAAATAAAATTTGAATCACAATAAGGGACTAAATCAAAGTTTTAACTCTGGAACATGAGCAGAGTTTAAATACAGTGAAAATATACTTCCTGATACTAAGTTTAGGTGGAGTTTGCTGGAGAGGAAATGTACACCATCAACTTACTATATATACTGTACAAGTCAGGCCTCCAGGATCCCCCAGCTACTCTGAACACTGTGTTAAGTATAGAAACCAATTAATCATGCATCTCCGAAATAATAAGAGACAGAAATCTTTCAAAATAAAAGAGGCAAAAATGAAGACAAGAAACTAAAAGAGGATTAAAAAGAACAAAGTGTTTTTATTAGTGTCGAGCTTGAAGACTTCATAAACTATCCTGACTATATATTCATGTATTGGCAGGATACATTGAGCTCATGTGACATCTGCGCAACACTTAAGGTTTAAGGTTAAAGGGAGAAGCGATATTCTGGGACTTGATATCAGTTTCAGTGCAGAGACAACTCCACGATGTGTTGAGCCTCACTAAGATGTTTTCCTTTCTATTCCCAGACAAGATGAAACATGTACATTAGAGAGCTTTTGTTTATCTATTTCATTCTTTTATTTTGGTGGAGCAATGCTACAGTTTCCCCCTGCTTTCAGTCTTTGTGCTAAGCTAGGCTAACATGTCCTGGACCTAGATGAAACTGATATCTGTCTCCTCACAACAAAAAGGGTCTCCCGCTCCTGTAGATCGAGCAAAAAACTGTTGTTTATAATTATTATTTTTCATATTTCTGAAAGTGTTGGCTGAGAAGAGAATGGTTTTATCACCACACCTCCAGTTTATATTAAGATACCGTTCACAGCTGGACAATCACTGCAGATGAGACATCCGTCCCCACATTAACGTTGCTAATAGATTTACAGGTCTGCCCACAATTATGGACTTATTATCAATAACACAACCCAGAAGAGCTGACGTGGTCCAATGCAACCCACAGCATTCATGTCCCATGGCTCCTCCCACTTTGTTTACGGAGTAAATAAAACCAGATCGAGGTGCTTCTTTGTTGTGTGGCTTCACGTACATACATCTTGTTCAAACTTTATTTAAATGTTCATATACATACGGACACGTACGTGATATTGGAGCCCTGCATTGAAGCATTGGCAGCAGTGAGCTGCTGTGAACAGAGTTGGTGTTCAGCGTCTCGCTCAATAACACTTTGACCTGCGGACGAGCCGGGGATCGAACCACTAACCTTGTAGTTAGATGACTATCGATGGGGCGAGAACAAATAAAAGCCCAGGGAAGGAAGAAATGCTCAATGTCTCCTGTTAAGAAACAAATGCAGATTAACTTCCAGCTAGAGATTAGCATGTGAAGACACAAACTTTATTTATTATTGTTAATATCACAGATTGAGTTATGCTTCATTACGCTCAGATTTACTGATTTGTTTTCAGTGAAGAACTGAATCGATGAATGAATGTTTTCATTCATCCATAACGAGAGAGATGAATTGTAAACATGTGGTCTGAGCATTGATAGCATGCATGTCTCTGAATAGAAGGTGTGTCTCACGTGTGTGTTTGCTG